ACTGTCTTTCTGGTATACTTGCGATGATGAGGTCATGATTACATTATTGTGAGGTTTTGTCGGTTCAGGCCATATTCCATCAAATTCGCTTGTTTCTCATGTCAAATCAGTGGATCCCAACAGCTTCGCCTACCATCCGTTCAAATGGTGGACCGTGGACGCGCGCTGAGGATAATCGAGCGGAGCCTCACCGAGCCTTGGACAACCTCCACTGCACCGCCTCGATCTTTTTCCTCGCGCAACGTACGGCCCTGTGAATGGGGGGTTCAACGAGGCCGGGTACGAAGTATGGGCGCGAGCATGCCTTGCCACAGAAATGAACACGCCAAGATGGCCCTCCCATCCGGACAGGCACAGTAACAGTACCCCGACATGACTCTGTCCACGACCATTGGAGGCTATATGCCAAACATGATATAGGACCCCGTGGGCGGGCTTTCAGGGAGGGGTCATGATCATGCCCCCCCCCTTCCGGATCAACCCAGCCACGGTGCCCGGTTGCATCTGCCAAAGTGACCCTGAATCCTGTATTGGGGTGGAACGCGCAACGCTGCCCATACGAATTTCCTGTCAATAGTACGACCTCTGGAAGGGGGCCCATTGGCATGGCCAACAACCATCGACGGGTCCTTGGAACCAACGCATGATGATTTTGCGTATTTCATGTCAGGGGGGAACAGCTGCGTCCCCTTGGTTGTATGTATTGGAGAGTGATAAATATTTATCGAAAATGAACGCAAAAATGCCTGCTTGCTAATTTGATAGTTGTACTTCATTAAGGCGGCAGAATCCACCGCTGCTTTCAACCAAACCTGTTCCCGAGGACACTGATACCAATGTGGATGCCAATAACTCAAACTTGAAATGATATGCCCCGTCCGAGTAACCCAGAGACTCATACCTCACACGAACCACGCACGCACATAGCGAAGTCCTCGTGTAAATACCTCCTGGCCCCCATTCAAAGGAATAGGGGCCTTTGCCTTTCAAAAATAGCAGGGGGGGGGAATGGAGACTTACTCCTCATCCTCACCGGCAACGGTCACCTGCGTCCCCTGATCCTTCTGGCCGCCGAAGGGCAGCTTCGCGCGGTTGACCCGCAGCACGACGACGCCGAGCAGCGCCGCCTCGACAACGATGAGCAGCCAAGCGGGGATGCGCGCGAGGTTCCTGTTGTAATCGGTCCACACGGCCGTCAGGACGGTGGCGAGCAGGGCGACGTAGAGGACATAGCCCGAAGCGCGGTGGTACTTCCACACGGCCTTGGCGCGGTCCTCGCCGCCGTAGAGCGAGGGGATGGCCCACATGGTGAAGCCGACGAGGTACTGCAGCACGATGAGGGCGGCGACGAGGACGCCGAGGTAGCCGTGGAGAGAGTGGAAGTGGGGCCCGTGGGAGCGGAACTTGTTGACCTCGATGATGGTGACGCCGGCGACGAGAAGGAGGAAGGCGGCAAGGTTGAGAACGGCGTGGACGCGCTGGCCCTGGCGCTTCTGGGCCGCGTCGTGCGTCGGCTGGAGGACGAGGACGGACTGCGTCAGGATGAGAATGGCCAGCGACTGGGCGAGGGGGTGGCCGGTGAAAAGGATGACGGGGTGGGCGAGGATGTAGGACCAGATGATGGCGACGAGGGCGAGGATGAGAATTTGGGCGGTGATTCCGGGCCAATCTAGGGAGGTCAGTTTGCTAGTTCTTCATGCCACAAACAGTCGAAGCAGCGGCTGAGGCAGCTTGCGATACCCCGACATACCGAGGATGGGGTTCTTCCAGATCTTGGCTGTTGTTGGCTGTGAGCGACGTACTCCGCCAAGAAGCGGCGTCGTGGCCGAGGGCTCGTGTTCAGGCATATTTTGAATGGGTGATTGCTTTGGACAGAGCCAGACGATGGATGTGAGAGCTAGAAAAGTGAAGATGTAAGACGGCGGTTGACAGGCAGGAAGTCGGTCAGTCGTGTTCATGTCAAGCTCACTTCATCCAACATCGATGATGCTGGGTTTGTCAGAGAGCCAATCAACAGGCGGCCATTACTGCCCCCCTGGACACGCTCGTGGCGGGGTAGGGGAATGAGGTGCTCTGGCTGCACCTGCCGTCATTGTTGTGCGTGCCGACTTTGCCTTTGGGTCTTTGGGGTCGCGTGCAGCAACTGTCGCAACATCAGCAGCAGCAAACGATGGCAATTCAACTTCTCCATCTCCACTACAGACTGCGGGTGGCAGCACCGAAATGAAACGAAAAGCACAAACGCATCAACAGCTTCATCTGGGTCTGCCACGACTCGCAAAACCGTCTCAGTTCCGCGTCCATGTCATTTGCATGACCCCAGCTTTCTCTCCACGATCAAGAGATAAACAGAATCGATCGGACCTTGCCGACAATGGAGCCCATGTGTCGAGTTGGTGCATCAGCCTTGGATATCCGTGGATATAAAGACCCCAGAAGGCCCCCCTCGGGCCTGTCCCTCAGTTATGACACCTGATGAGATGGTGTAACTATCAGCAAATCCACTCCCTTCAGGCGCCAAAAAAAAAGCCGCTGAGCCGTGTTGCGGGGCAGCCCAAGGCTACCATGCAAACACCTCTAATCCTCCCACTGCTCGCGTCAAGCACGCGCCATCACCCGATAGCACTGGACCGCCAGACCCCCTCAGAGAGGCAGGCCCTCGAGTCACCCATCGTCCTCGGCACCAACATTTGCTCCCCACGCCGCCTCCGGCAACCTGCCCCTACGCCGACGGCGCACCCTCCGGCCTTTAAATGAAGCCATCTGCGGCCGCACCCATTGGCTCGAGGCCTCTATCTCCATGCTCAAGTCACCCCGCGTTGCGCCGCGCCCGCGGGCCAAGCGGGCAGGTGCAGCATGGGAAAACCTCCCAACACCGTGGCCCCATCGGCATCGATGTGGAGCGGCGGGGTTGGAGGGGTCGCGTCGAGGGGTCGAGAGTGCTGGAGGACCCGGGACTGACCGGTGTCGGAAGTGGCCGACAAGGCCTAAAACCTCGCCGTAATCGCCAGTGAACTTGTTTGTCTTTGCCTCGTTCTCCTTTCTTACCTCGCTACCATTGCCATTGCTGCATTCCTCATTCTTGTGATACCATCTTGCTGCTGTGCTGTCTATCGATCGAACCATCAGATAACCCCACACAAAACACCTCCCCCACTACATCACCACTACCACCACAACCACCACAACCACCGACGCCATGGCCTCGCAGGAGTATAAGCTCGAGTCGATCAAGGCGACGCGCATTGCGGCCGACGACATTGACACGACTTTCCGTTCCAGCTCCATTGGTATGCATGCGCCGCTGGTCTCTGACGAACCGTCTCCCCCTGGTTCGCCTCAGCTAACCGATGCGGGCAGATCTCGTCTCCGGCACGCTTGGCGGCAAGATCCTCGCCTTCTCCGACGAATGGTTCGCCGAGGCCCAGAACCTCATCACCGAA